GAGAAACAAACAAGCAAACAAGAACTTTCTAAATGATCTTCCTGCTTTTAATTTCATCACATTTCCATTGTACTACTGCTTATGTGATTTTTCTAATATATGTAACATAGCCACTTTCCTATTCTACATCTTAATGTGGCTTTTCTTTCCTTAAGTCAATATCCACATCCTTAGTAGGTTATAGGAAGCCATTCATGCTCTGAGCGCCTTCATTTCTGGGTTCTTCTGCCACCCTCCACACACTCACTCACTTCAGCAACCTTGAACACTGATGTTTACTATGTGTGCTGCAAACTTTCTTTCCTCTGTGCCTTTGGACATGCTGATCTCACTGACTCCAAAATTCTTCCCCTCTTTTTCTGCCAGGAAAATTTATCTTTTAAGACTTACCCAAAAATTTCTTCACGGCTAGGTCAACCTCTTTTCCTAAGCCATATTAGATGCTCTCTTTCTCAGCTTCCTTTAGCATTTTGTACATGCTTTCATTATAGCAATTTATACCACGGCTTGTATGCATTTCTTTATATATACTTTGTATAGCCTTTTTTTGTATATCCTTCCTGAGGAAAGGAATCATATCTTATTCATTTTTATGACAAACACCAGGCACAGTGCCTAGTGCTTGAAAGATGTTTTTTATATTAATATTAAGCAGAGAAGGAGGATATGCATATGAAAGATATATGATCCCTGATTTCAAAGAAATAACATTACAATATAAAGATTTATAGTGGAAAAAATATAAAATAGATTGCTTATGTTCCACCAGAGAGTAAAATTAGAAGAATTTACAAAGAAAAAAATTACTCACTAAAATAACATACTCTCTAATCTTTGGAGTTATCTAACTAGCAAGCAGGAAGCATCAACAGTTAGTGAGCTTCTGATCACTAGATTCAGGCTGAAAGAAGATGGCTTAATGTCTTCAACTCGAATGTGGTCTCTATTCAACCCTTGTATTGGATGACAGTTTAGACCTCTACAAGCCCTGCGTGCCTGATGTCATTCTCTGAAAAGGCAGACAATTAAGGGATTCTGAAATAATATTTTTAGTAAATAAGATTATTTGGTATCTCTGCCTCAATTCTGTAATTTAAAATATTAAATTTGAATTAATTACAGTGTATTCATAGTAAGAGTTCACTAAAATTTTATAATTCCACAATATTCTGGGAATGGACAACTAAAGACATTATTTTGGATTTATTTGGTGGTAGCAGAGTACAATAATTAATACCTCCTTTCCCCTACCTGAGACTGGACACTTAGTAAAGATGAATATAGGAGTCAGATAAATTAAGGTCAAATATTACGTTTGTTATCAATAAAAATGAACAGCTTTGGGTTACTGATAAAGCCACACTCTTCTGCAGGCCTAATAATATACCCTACATTGAAAATACTGATTGCCTTAGTTCCTTTTGTGCTACTAGAGCAGAATACTATGCACTGGGTAATTTATAAAGAACAGAACTGTCTTTTCTTTTCTTTTCCTTTTTTTTTTTTTTTTTTTTTTTTTAAGACAGAGTCTTACTCTGTCACCCAGGCTGGAGTGCAACGGCCTCTTCTTGGCTCACTGCAACCTCTGCTTCCTGGGTTCAAGCAATTCTCCTGCTTCAGCCTCCCAAGTAGCTGGGATTATAGGCACCCACCATGACACCCAGGTATTTTTTGTATTTTTAATAGAGACGGGGGTTTCACCATATTGGCCAGGATGGTCTCAAACTCCTGACCTCATCATCCGCCCACCTCAGCCTCCCAAAGTCCTGGTGTTACAGGTGTGAGCCACCACACCAGGCCCCTAGAACTGTATTTTCACAGTTCTAGAGGCTGCAAAGTCCAAGATCTAGATTCCAGTATCTGATCAGGGTTTCCTTGCTGCATCCTAACACAGCAGAAGATGGAAGAGCAAGAGAGAGATAAACTCTATGTCTTCACATGGCAGAAAAGCTGAAGAGATAGAACTCACTCCCTCAAGACCTTTTTATAGCAGCATTAGTCCCTTTCACCTATAAACCTCCCATCTGGCCCTACCCTATTGCATTGGCAATTAAGTTCACAACACAGTAATCTGAGAGGACACAATCAATCCATAGCACCCATTCATCTAAAGATGCTGGTTTCCTCTGTTGAGACTGCCAGAAGGTAAAGAGCAGAGCCAAAGAAATTTGGGGAGGATCCAGAAAACCTTTAGCCAACCATACTTTTTTTTCTTCCCCCATTTTCAATGGTCAGTGGAAGGAGAGTGAGTGAGTGGGTGGAAAGAAATTAGAAATGCTCCTCTTATTAATTCTTCTGGAGAGTTAAGAAGACTTTTCCTTTTCTCTATGGATGCATGAAGAATAAGGAAGTATTCTAACATACTCTTAAGAGCAATGTCATTTTCAGTAGCTTCCTACTCTACAATTGGCCTTACATATTAAAAACACAATCTTCTCTGATATTTTGAAAGATTCAAAATTTAGCAGCTGTACTGAAAACTAACCTGTTTCTTTAGAATAACTTCACTATTTACTTATGTACTCATGCCTTCAAAAAAATATTTATTAAATGCCTATCATGTTCCTGGTTCTTTTATGCTAGTGATCAAAGAAAACTAAGCCACCATCAATGTCCTTAAAGAGCTCTAGCTGGAGAAATGGCCAATTAACTAATAATAATAATAATAGCAATATTATTATTACAGTAATAATAATAATTATTATTATTAATACACAGTATAATGGAGGAAGGACTATTATACCATGAACCCAAAGGGGAAGGGGCAATTAATTACTAGAATAAAGAAAAAGAAACATTGTAATAAAAATAACAAAAACATACTGTCCTGATGTAGGCTTTGAAAAATGAATAGGAGTTCACTAGGAGAAAATGAGTGGGAACGAAGCTATCCCTCAAAAAAGAAGGCTCACAGGCAAAGGCACAAATGTCTGAATATTCAGCATCTCAGAAATCATTAAAAGGAAAGCACATTTGATATATGTAAAATATTTTCACATTTCACATAAAGTTTATTAAAGCAGGGAAACTTTTGCGTAGTTTAATAAAATTACAAAGCTCTAGAGGTGAGGCATTTTGAACTAGTTAATAACCAAATAATTTAAGGAATTATTCATTAACCACTAACAAATACCTCCTGCATCCCTCATCTTTGGTTGAGTTCCAACAGTAATATCTCAGAGGTCTTGGCACTTGAAATCTGAATTTAAGCATTTATGTCTACAATATAAGGACCAAAAATATTTTGCTTCTGGGTCATTAAAATTTTTAGAATAATAAGCCCTTCCTTAGCAGCCTTTCTATTTGGTAGAATGCCATTCAGGAACGTTTTCTGTATCTGAATTCATAGGGGAAATAAAGTGGTGCTCTTGTTAAGGAAATCCATTTCCTCCAAAAGGACAAAGTATGACAAAGACTGTTTTTCCAACTTAATGTAAATTTCATAACATCAGCGGCGTGAAGTGCAAACTGCCAAATGGAAAGGCTCACACACGTCCCATCCACATAACACATGGATTCAGGAGGGGCAGAGATGACATTTACTTTAGGAACTATACATCTTCCACACAACTTCTAAGATCTGCACTGGTGAACCCACTCCTGTCTATTGAAGTCTTTGTCTTTATTAAATGCCTTCTTTCAGGATGGCTAAAATGATGAGGGGTTTTTTGCTTGCTTTTCTTCCTCTTTTCCTGTCTCTTTCCCTTTACAGATACAGCCCCAGTGATTGAAAAACCTGACCTGCAAATCTGACCGTTCCACTTATCTAGGACTATCTCTAAGTACAAGGTCGACATTATCTCAGCCTGCATCCTGTGTAATTATAGTATTTGGCTGGCATTGCTGAATAGGGGCTGAAATCCATCAGGTTTTAGTTAATCTTCCTTGAGTAATCACAGCTGGTTGGCCGGAAAAAAATGATTATGAAATAAAGTTGTTGTGTCTCAATAATAAAGATTACTGATATGCAGGGCAAGCTCTATCTAAGGTTAACCTTTCTCTACATATGAAGGCTCTGTATAACTGAGGAAAGATAGATTATTTCTGAAAAGTCTGCTTTGCTTCAGATTTTAACTTCTTTCTTTTCACTTTTACTAAATCCCCCACCAGTCCTGAATTTTCATTACACGGCACTGAAACACATACATTAACCCTTTGGAAGTTTTTCAAACAGATTCAACTAGCAGTTTAATGGACATGAGATCAGTTTCCTTCGAGTCTTTGAATAGAATCTCATGTTGTTTTATTAAGAATCTTTTTTATTGTGCTAATCTTGAGGCTATGAGTTATTCACACTATAGACAGGATGAGAATGAACCTGCATGGTGATATTAGAGAGCATGTCAAGTGATATTGTAGTGGTGCAAGCTGTATATTCAAAACATAAAACAGACTTACACAATTGGAGAAAACTCCCCATCACTGTCTATGCAATATGAACAATCCAGCATACGTCCAATCCAATAATTTTTACTCCTTCTTATAATAAGAGATGATCATAAAAGATTCATCTAGCAACTGTAAAAAGGCACAGATGGTGGTATGGTAACAGCACATATTCTGTAGTCATAGCTAGCTTTGCCTCTCACCAGCTGTGTGACTTTGGGTGAATTACTTAACCTCTCTATTGACTTAGAGTCCTCGACCTTAAAATAGAGATGATAATAATAGTAGCTGTCTCATGTGCACATCATGAGGATTAAATGAGTTAACATATCCAGGATGCTTAGAACAGTTATTGGCATTTAAAAAGCATAGTAAGTGTTCACTCTTGATAACATTAAAACATATAAAGAAACAGGATTGGCGGGATCCTAACATTGTTGGATAGGCAGTAAGTACAACTTGCAAGATCTTTAGCCCTAAATTCTTGTTTGATACTTGACTTCAGGCTATTAACATTTAACCAGAGACTCATAAATAAAATGAACTGTAGTTAAACTCATCACGTTAATGCTTCTACTCATGAGAAAATAAGAACGCACATAAAAATAGTATACCATGGATTTTGTCTGGAAGGGTAAGATGAGAGCAAGAGGACAAGGGAAGATGATTTGCTTGAGGCTGATGGTTCTGGGCATGGTGGCTTCCGGACTCTTCCTTATACCATTGCTGTCATTGCCCTTACAGCACATGACTGGGATGACCACGGAAGTTCCTCCTACAAAGAAATACATTTCAGTTTCTGAGTTTCCAAGCACATTTTGGCATCCATGACTTGGCTATTGCACTGACTCTTCTTTCTTCCTAATTACATCCCTAATGTAAATACATCCAGCAATAATCCTTAATTACATCCTCTTAATTATACACCTACTGCAAATGCATGCCAACTCTCCTTTGTCATCATTTAAGTCAATTGGTTAATACTAAACCAAACAAATACATAGACACACAAGAAAGCTATCAGTGAGAAGTTTTGAATAGAAAGATATGTTGAGAAATATGTATTTTTCATTTTTATTTTTTAAAGCCAAAGCAAGTTTATTAGGAAAGTAAAGGAATAAAAGAATGGCTACTCCATAGGCAGAGCAGCCCCAAGGTCTGCTGGTTGCCCTTTTCTATGCTCATTTCTTGATTATATGCTAAACAGGGGTAGATTATTTGTACCTCCCATTTTTGGACCATATAGGTAACTTCCTGACATTGCCATGGCATTCGCAAACTGTCATGGTGCCAGTGGGAGAGTAGCAGTAAGGGCGACCAGAGGACACTCTCATTGCCATCTTGGTTTGGGTAGGTTTTAGCTGGCCTCTTTACTGCAACTTGTTTTATCAGCAAGGTCTTTATGACCTGTATCTTGTGCTGACCCTCTATTTCATCCTGTGACTTAGGATGCCTTAGCCTCCTGGAAATGCAACCCAGCAGGTCTCAGCCTTATTTTACTCAGCCCCTATTCAAAATGGAGTTGCTCTGGTTCTAATGCCTCTGACATTTCCCCCCTCCCTTTTATAAAAGAACCCTTAATCCTAGGGGTTGCAGAGGGACGATGATCAGTCTTCTGTAACTTCTTCAGGCTGAATAGGGGCGAAGTTATACCTGCCTAACTATTGGGTCTCTTGCATTTAGCATAGAGAGAAGTTCAGTCAGAAAGCAGTGGTACAGTGAGGGCCATTCATAACTCTTGAATTCCAACACATGGTGATATCTGAAAGGTTAATAACTATTCAATTTAAGAAAACATTGAGTAAGCTTATTCTGCATTCCTACACAAGATTACAACAGCAATAGGAATGTGTATTTTTAATAATTCCTCTTAATTTCAGTTTAAAATTTTAGAAATTGCTTCTTAATCGTATTACATTTCTTTCATTTTTATGAATCTTATCTGGATTTTTAAAACACAACACAGAGAAAAGTTTCAAGATAGAGTCTAGATGTCCATTCTGTGTTTGTTTATAAAGTTTCAGATCATCATCCATATATTTCTGTATTTTCATTGATCTTGCAATATCTTCTTTTATTTGGCTGAAGATCATGTATAAAACGTCAAAGCATGTGAAACACATAGATCTTCTTTAAGCACAAAAAGAATTGACAATCCATTTGAGAGTCATTAGGGTGTATTTTATAATCTAACATGAAATTATACCTGTCTATTTTCACCACAATAAATCTGCATGGCTCTTACTAATATCAAGGAAACTTATTAATGTGTCTTAATGGAATGAAAATTTAAGAATAATAAGCATTTTGAAAGGTAACACCACTGTCAATTGAAAGACAAACATTTTTTAAGTTAGATTATTTGAGGGATAAAGTGACTGTATTTTGGTTCTTGAGAAGAAGCTATTCTCCAGACATCATCTTTTTAGGAATTTATAATGGAAAGATTCTAAAATCTTGTTTTGCTCCAAAATTCTGTCTCTAGATATAAGGAAGAGATTATATAAAATTAAACTTTTATATATATAAAGATTATATAAAATTAAACTTCAGAAAAATAGTAAAAAGTCAAACTATGTTAAACAAATCATTATGAAAATAGAACCTTCATAAGATAATCACTTTCTAGATTTTTTTTAAGCAAATGTTTGTTTTGTTTTGCTTTTAAATAATGTTCACTGCTGCTTGTGTTTCCATTCCTATAGGAGGCTTCCTAACATCTGTTTTCCATTTTTTTTTTTTTTTTTTTTTTTTTTTAATTTCCACACATGACCTTTGGCCTATTCTCTGTGTTTGGAGAAAAACAGGAATTAAAGTTGACATTATCTCTATGCCTTCTCCAAACTATATAAATTCACATTTGTAGCCTGTCTTATATCTAAGCACGGGATTTCTGACCACAAAATCAATTTATCTATTGTTTAGGAGGAAGTTTCATAATGTTCAGAATAAAGACCTATAACCCCATAGTCTGGGGTTCTGGGGTGCTGCCAGGGCTTCAAGGCACAAGAATATTTTTTCTAGATCTGTGGTCACTGTGGAAAGTGTATCTGGCCTAACCCAGTGTTCTAGAAAATCCCCAAATCATGAAACAAAATGAAGTTCTTTTCATAATTCTAGCATTTAATCTCTCACATGAGACTGAAGAATGTGATACTAATGTAGTATGAAAATTATATTGTGTGTATATTTTAAGCATTAGACAAATGAGCAGGTACTTAAAAATCCTGTATAAGAAGTAAAACTTTTCACCAAAAGTAATGAGGAGATAAAGAATTTAATATCATACTAATGCATACTACACATTAGAACACAAAAATCCTGAGCTGTACAGAACAAATATTCCAAATAAGTGGGTGAAATAGCTAAGAGACTGGCCAAAGGAGCCTCTCTTTTTTTAGTATAGATGCTGGGTATAATCTATACTTTCATATGTTCTTTCTTTTAATTGTTATAATTTACATACTGAAAGTACACAGATCTTATGTATACAGCTTGATGAATGTTTCCATAAGGATATACCTGTGTTTTATGCCTTCTTAAACAGAATGTTCATTTAAACATTACAGTTTTCCTGATAGCCTCAGAAAGTATTGTGTTAAAAATACAATATTGACTTCAAGGTCTAATGATATGCCTGGAACCCCCTTACCCCTATATTTAAAGTCAATTGGGCTTTATTTTACTTTGGTTCTTTTGTTTTCCTATAGACGTCCGCCTTCTTTATTGCTTTAGTTTTCTTTACATCCCTGGGCTTAACATGGGGTCAAATAAAATGTTTATCAAATGTTTACAATAATGAATTGGGTATCAGATGTCCATCCTTATGGATATGATCTACACAGTGAGACTGAGTAATATTGAGTATTTTGTTATAAATAGATAAGTATTAGTAATGTTAATGAGCTTTATAATGTAAAATATCTTATAAACCTAAACTGAGGTAAGGCTTGGTACATTAATGTTTTCTAAGGCCTGCTAATTTAGAAACTACTTACTCTACTGATTAAGACTTTGGATACACAACAGTGCCTAGAAGGGTCCAGTCATTCAGAACCTAATGGAGACATCAAGACAACTGGTCAAGAATGACTAATGTCATATTACAGAATAAGACAAGTCTCATAAAAGACTGTTCAACAAACTGCCTGTTTCCACACTGTGGAGGACATATATGAGCTCTGTTTTCTCTATTTGAAAGCTTCGGAGACATTAAGATTTCCTAAAGCTTCTCCACTATGTTCAGAAATGGCAAAGAATTATATTGCAAAACTTTGAAGAGTTTGTCTGATTTTTACAACAAATATGCTCAACTGAGATGGGTTGGAAGGAAGACACCCTAAGGATCCCCCTGTTTCACCCCCACCTTCACCCCAGTATGTACTGGCTGCTCTTGTGAATGTTATGGAGGCAGTCACTAAGGAAAGAGAATTATCCTATTACCTAAGACACGTGATTGCAGTTGAAGAACATGCTCCATGCTCACTCCAGCCCTGTCTCAACTTGCAAACAGAGTTAACACAAATCGTAGCTTTTCTATTCCTTTTGGCATTAGCAACTAGTTTTACAAGTTTTCTTTAAAGAGTGAATTGCTTCCTATTTATCTATATAAAATGCTTTTGTACATATTTTGCTACATTTTTTAATCACAATGTAGTACCGTGGAAAGAACATTACCTGATAGGACAGAATACAAAATGTTCTGGGAAGACAAAGGTGGAACTAAAACAAAAGGATGGACCTTATAGTTTCTTTTATTTCCATGATTCTAGGATAATTATTATTAGTTACCTATTTGTAAAGTTGCCTGGGTTTCTAAACCTTTTTCCCAAATGTTCTTATACAGTTCTTTCAAGTAGCAACTTTTTAGACATCTGTTAATGCTTTTTAATTCCTTAAAGAACAATGATAACCAAAATATTTTCTATGATGTATAGAAGTATGTAATTAAATCAGAAACCTTAATAAAGACTGGCTATTTCTGTTCACCATCAGACTTAAAAACTAGGAATTTATTTTTGGTTGACTTTGGTTTTTTTTTTTTTTTATGTGTCATACATGTGATTATCAAGGTAGTAAAAGAACATCTTTTCATGACACCAGAGTGGTTTAGTATGAGATGTATTTATCTGACTAGCCATTTGGACAATTCTTTATATAAATGTGATTAAATCCACTTCCATATTCTATACATATGACCCTTCCCTCTTCCTTTCTGAGTTTGTTTCTTTTTGAACATGGTTTATCCTCCACTGCAAAGTTTATGTATCTGATATTTCTTAAAATATATATATATATATATATATATATATATATATATATATAGTCCTGTCACAGTGCAGGCATACATTCACTATTTGTTTTCTCCTCTTTTTGAAAATAGGAATTCAAAGACAATTTCAGGAACAAGGTAAGCTGTCAATTCTCTGAACAGCTAAGGCACTATTCTTAATGACTTCCCAATAGTAAGCACTACTAACTATTGCTAAGCCCAGTTTATGCTCCTCCCAAATCTGCCCATTCTCATATGCAAGTTGATTTCAGGTGCTATTGAATCAGTCCATACAACTTGAACGAGAAGCATAGGACAAGTGCAAGAGACAGTAGGGTTTAGAAGTTCTATGACTTGATTTCTCTGTCTTTCCACTCTCCAGCTAGGGCTCCAGAGCCTCCCCTGATTCCTACCTCCCCCAATCCTCTCAAAGTAAGGTGAGAGGGAAAAGCCATGGGGACTGCTGGCAGTCGTCCTCACTATTCCCAAGGTAAGAGCCATAG